GATCGTGAAGAAATAGAGCGGTGCTCGAAGAAAGCCTACACAGTGCCTGAGCATGCGCGCTGTGTCGTCAAAGTTCTCGACGCTACCCGTCACGTCAAACTTGACGGCAAGTATAAACCTAAGAAAAACCGCACGAAATTCATTAAAAGTGAGTCGAAATGCTTTCTCCTTCTAATTTCAACCACGAACAGGAAAGATCAACCATGATGCTTAGACTCTGTTTTCCCATTCCGGAATCACCACATCATATGGTAGCAGTGGAAGTTGTTACACAATTCGGCGTGTCTGGCGGACAAAGCAGAATTTCGCACATCTTCTCGCTCAGCTCCTAAGGGGCTGTTTATGAGACATGGGTTGCGCATAGGATATGCTGGAGCCCACCAAGCCTTACATCCCTTTCATTCAATGGAACCATGGTCACCTGTTATTTGTCCAGGTTTTTCGTGCCAAGGGCTGTTGAAGCCCGTTTGCGAATCCAAAAATTGGTCCCAGCTTCGATGAGCATTTGACCACTCCTCCTGTGCTGCTCCCTATCCGTCCTATCCATCTTTCTGGTCTGCAGCTGTACCCAACTTCCCAGCTTCTAACTCTCTTGAACTGACAATGACTTAACAATCTCGTAGGAAGTCTGCCCATTCAGGGAACGCCTCGTTCAGTGTGTGTGATTGTGCTCCACACTTCGCGCTTGCGCTGTCGCACCTCTGTACATCTGAGCTAAGTACTCACCCGTGACTCAGTCTTTCGGACTTGGATATGGCCTTTTTCTTCGAGAAGTGATAGATCTTGCGTTAATCGAAGAGCTAGAAACAGAGACAGGCATGGCACCACAGTCCGGAATATCTTGCACATATTAGCCATTATTTGTTACACAGTGTTGGTATCTATTTGTTAACATGAACAGTGTCGGAATTGCGAGCAGTGAAAAAGTATCGGAAGAAGTCCACGAGTCAAACAGTTTAGCTTCATTTTTTTTTCTTATAGGTGAAATCGAACGAGCAGATCTTCAATTCACTCGGTTTTTAGATAAACCTATTTCACATCTGAAACGTAAACCGATCAAACGAAATAGGGAATGGGTTGGCGGCTTCCGGTTAGCCAGAGCGAAAAGGGATGTCAAGGTAAGACTGCTGAGCTTGTTGCTGGATTTTGAGTTTGGTCACTTGAAAGGGTGTAATACGAAACCACCGAGTTACGGGCCGCAGCAGTGTCGGCAGCATATGCTGCCGACACGCCCACTAGTCTATGACTGGCTGGCTCGTGTCTGCACACAGTAACCCGTGTGGTGGTAGCCAATCACGGACGAGTGGGCGTGTCGGCAGCATATGCTGCCGACACTGCTGCGGCCCGTAACTCGGTGGTTTCTCCTGCACGTCTACCTGAGAATTATTTATAGCAACGTATGACCACATCCTATCAAACGTCTGTTAATATTTCCAATGGCCTCTTATGAAATTGGCAAATTAATTCAAACGGAGCTCACAGCGACCGACCGTTGCCGGCATGTCGTCCTTCAGAATTGCATCTCGCTATTCCTGAAGTGCAGCTTTTAGCGAAACAACCGAGCTGATTGTTTCGAACACCTGCTCAGTTTCCATGTCGACCACATTGAATAATGCATTACATTCAAGTTCCAACTGGCTAATCATTGTCGATTCCCGTGTGCTCGGCGTCAGACTTGCACGAAATTCAATCCATGAGCTGGCATACCTCCCTGCTGGTGATCAATCGTTATGAGTTGTTAAGTGGCGGAAGCTTTCTCTGAAATGCTATCTTGGATAGTACTTGGATAAAGGTTTTACTCTCCCACAGGCGAAAACCAAGTGAGATGAACAAGTCGCCGCTACTCCAATTCAATGCATAGCCGAACTAAAAATTAAATTCAATTAAGGTCGTTGCTACTCTGGTAGTTTCTTCAAAGGTTCTGGTAACTAGTTTTGAAGTTTCTTGAATGAAGACCTGATTGTAGTTGGAAAATGTCAGAGCATTTTCCATGGGTTTACATACGGGCAGCGTTCGCGGCCTGCGCTAGAAGCCCTTGACATTTCCCAACGCCGTTTTTCCTCTGTCCGTCCTAGAGAGCTAGCGTATCCAAAGTTGTTACACACCCTTCGCGTCTCTATCCTGATAGTGTTGAATCTTTAGTCAGTGTGGTGCTATCTTAGCTGGGGGGGGGGGACCACGCGGCGGCGCGGCGCTCTGTTCGTCTGCTCCTCCAAGGCTTAGTCCCCGATGGCGCTCATTTCGAGACTACCACGTGATGACGAAATAGCGTAACTGCCCCTTGGACTAAGCCCAGGACGAACAGAGCTGCGGCGTGCCCCCCCCCCCCTCCCCCCCAACTAACGATAAGATAGCATCTCCAGTTTTTATTGGTCCTCACTGAATTGCGTCCGGTGTCTTTTTGATAATTTTCATAGCCTCTCTTCGACCTCCTTGAGCGATCGACGCTTACTAGGAAGGCTATTGAGCACTTCCTTTTAAAGCCGGATGACATTTTGACGGTGCCTCTTTCGGGTAAGATGAATTGTAAAGAATCAGTCGGCCGTGCCTGGCACTAAAAATCACATTCGCTTCTGATTAAGTGAAACCATTCCTCTTAATATAGCGAAGCAATGAAGGCATAGTAATATTTATGAAGAATGCGAAGACGGATCAGATGGCCAGTTAAAAGCTCTAGTCATTGTTGAGGACTTGCTTGAAATTCAATCTTTCTAGCATATTTATGCTCACCCTGCGTAGGTCGAGACTTTTGTGAACCTGAGTAGTTGAAAAGAGAGCCAAGTTCCCAAAAATCTATGAAGAACGTTGCGTTCCTGTACGTGGAAATAACGTGCTCCACCAATTTTGATGCTGAGTTAACAGCGAAAAATGGTTCCTGATTTATAGTGTCACTAATTTCATCGGAAATAACAAAAATTCTGAAGCAGTGGTCATAAAAAGCTCATAAAAAGTCATAAAAAAACAGTAAAAAAATCCAAAAGAAATCGCAACAGTTGAAAGCTTTAGGTCGTGAATCGTTCTTCCTACAACCTTGCCTCGCCTGGTGGCGACACATTCTTCTCCAAGATAGTCCGACAGACGGCCAAGACTATTCGCAAATTCAAGAATAAGGATGGTGGAACTCAGAAGGTGAGGTTTTAAAAAACTAAGAAAAAAGTAAGAATTCCAAATGAGAAATTCCGGGCATGGAATTGTTCAAAAGCGTTTTACGTCTCATCGTTTCAGTGGGACGTGTGAAGAAATTCTATATTTTCAGCCCGACAGATGAATCGAATTTCAGTTGGCGTTCTGCGATTCAGCGCATCACACACATCGGTAAGGAGGCCCGTGAGATGGCAAAGCGCAGAAAAGCGCTAAAGAAGCGACTTCGAGCAATGATTGACAACACTCCGGACAAGTTTCAAGATCCTAGAAAACCTCTGGCGATGAATCAGGTGAGCTTGGAAAAAGGAAGTATCGTATAGAACTACCGAGAGTCTGAGATTGGGCTTGCTGGTGAATTTGTGAGCTCAGAGGTATGCCGAACCACAAAAAGGGTTCCTTAGTTCATCATCATTTCATGGCAGTTCTCCGATATGATTTTTGAGCTCTTGAACGTTGCATAATCTACCTCAACGAAAGTATGTTCAACGATCGATACTGCTTTTATGACCTAAAACCCTTTCCCTATAAGAATTCCAGAATTCCATATAATAAAATTGCCGTCTGAAGGAAGGGTGAAGGGGGAATAGTAGATACGACTAAAAAAAACGGTGGATGCCATAATTGCGACCACCATTTTCGTAAATGTTTGCGAAAAGGCCGTTATAACGGCCACCTCTCTTAATCACCCAAACACTAACCCTCGGTTTGAAACGTATAGCGAGATGATATTCTTCTCATTTGTTCTCCTTCTGAGGTCACGTGCGGAACGGAGTCAGCCCGAAGGAGTAGAATACTCTTTGAATCCCATCCCCCTAAATGAGCATTAAACAAAGTGCAAACATTAATATGAAAAGTTTAAAAACAACCTACTACTCAGAATGAGGAGTAATGAAAAAGACTTTGAATACAATTAAGTAGTTCGATTTCATAGAAAGACTCGTGAAACGGCTGTAAAGGAAGAAAGTAGTCCTGCTTTTGCTTTGGGGTACTCCACGTAGATCACCAGCTCCTCTTATGAGCTACCAAATGACATAGTGGTAGTAGTGCAAGTATCGAGATAATGGAAACAAATGGAAAGGATAAAGGATAAAGCATTTGCCGTTGATCAATCCCTTTTTGGGATGCGGCACGCATTCTACTTCCATTTGTACATTCGTAGTGGCGTTTGAATGCGATGTGGCCTATACAATGACTTGCGGGGGCCAGCCGATGTACAAGTCAGTGTTTTTATCCTCCCAGACAAGTCTGGTACCAATTAACCGACCCCGGAGGGATGGAAGGCTTGGTTGGCCCGGGCGACTCACGGATTTGATCCCCGGACCGCTCGCGTGGTAAGCGCGCCACTTGCCACTACACCACTTCCGCCCTACAACCAGGGCCAACCAGGTAACACGCACTGTGTGATTCATTCAGAATGCAGCTATAATAGTTTCATTAGTTTCAAGAACATGCGGCGGTCTTGACTTTAACTACCCGCATGATTCGTTTGAGTTTCACTACGATTTCCTAGTTGTTTTCGAAACATCACGTGGTGATGTCTGGCTTTTATGGTGACGCAGATTGTGAAGTCAAGTTAGTAAACTCTTCTTGTTTTACAGAACTCCATTAAGCAATTTTCAGATGGAAATGGAAGATGAAGAATTAGCTTTGAAAAAGAAGATAGGAAAGGAGAAAAATGAAGAGATTCGAGTTCCGATGAGATTACTCCGAGAGTCAATCAAGGTACTGCAATCACTTTTTCTGTTTTCTTGCTACAATTTTCTCTACCGGGCGTCTTTCAAACATAACTCAGACAGACGCTCCACAGAATGAACGAAAATCGACTGCAGACTTGTGGTTCTTTTCTGATGATGCACTTGATTTTCGCCCCCTTTCGTTTCAACATGAAAAATGTCTGCCGATTAAAAACATATTTGATGTTTAACACAGACCGAAACAAAGGAAATTGACTTTTTCACTAGCGGTTGGTTACCGTAGTGACAATTACGGTTATCAACCGCTAGTTATTGATTTTTCAATTGATTGTCGAGTGATTTTGAGTGATTGATTGTCGTCGCATTGCGTAATGATAATCGAAATTTGAAGGCTTCGATTTGAATTGAGCAGTAAAAAGAGTTAGGCTTCATTCCCCACTGCCTCACTCTGCTATATGAGCTATTCTACCATATATCAAGGCCATCGATCTGAATTACATAACCTAATCTGCATCACTATTGAAGTGAAAGTAATGTTACTGAAGCTCATTATAAACTACTCAGAAAGCAGCGCGAAAAATGATGGCAAGTCGCTAAGAGTGCTAGACGTCAAGGGAGGACATGCGCGCTATTCTTCCGCGTGAGTCAGCCAACATATTCCCTGAACTACTCACATCCCAATAACAACCTTCACTACCCTATGTCGCCATGAAAAATCAAGAAAAGGGGCTCATCATCATCCACACCTATCCCCATCTCAAACTCTATGATTCTTCTGCTAGTGAAGCTCCCTGGTGGCCAAAGTCCATGAAACGGCTCTCCTCAACTACTCACAAGCCAAATCATGGAAAAGTTGCTTGATTCTCCTTGAAAACTTTCATAAAGAAACCCTCCTACACCACCCTCCACCGAAAAATTATCAAGGAGAAAAGGTCAAGGGAACCTATTAACAATGAATCCTGTCAACAAATTGAAGAAAAACAAGAAAAATAGCATCCTATGACAGCATCTCTTTTTCTTTCATTTCCTTTAAGGCTTATCAAGTCGTAATACTACGCAGATTGTGCTTCTCACGTCCACCTTTCGATTATGAGAAGCCTTGTAACCGCCTTAGCCAGCTGTGTGTTGACTGGACTTTGGCGTTGACCGTGGAGCAGCTTATTTACTATTGAAATTTGAACAAATATTCAAATGATTATAACTTTCTTCAAAGTTAACGAATTTTCAATCTGAAAGCAGATTTGGGAGTTTTGTGAAGAGCTCTTTCTAATCAGTATTGAAATTACAAAAATAATAAATTTAGATTGATTAACGAGGAAAATTCATGATGAGTGCGAGTTTTTACACTTCTCAAAGCCGTAACTACGTTCAATTTATCTGATCGATAATAATAATCATTCCGAATTTATCTTACCGATAACAGTAATTTTTCCAGAACAGGCTTCCTTCCGATCTTGAACCATTTTTGCTACATTGGCTATGTTAGGATGCGCTCATGAATCATTTCCCTTTCCGTCAAGCAATAAACCTTCGCTTCATCGAATCGTCTCAACAAAATGGCGACCACGGCAGGATTTGAACCTGCAATCTTCTTTTCGTAATTCCGAAGGGAAGTAACATATGGCACTCTTTATTCTCTACGTTCATGAAAAGAATAATCACTGCGGCACAGAACAAACGCTTATCGCTCTCCGTCACTGCGTTTGGATACCGAAAGGACGATCAACCATCAAACGTGTCATCAATAATCGATGCTTCATCTGCAAGCGATCAAAGGCAAGACCTTTCAAGTTGCCAGATTTTCCATTGCACCCATCGCACCGTGTTAGCAGACACTACCCCTTCCTAAATGCAGCGCTGGACCTTATGGGACCTATGACTCTACTCAC